CGAAATAGGTTAGCACAGAAACGAAAGTTGTGTTGGTATTTGAACAAACCAAAAAAAAGAGAATGGTTATCTAATCGGTCCAATTCTTTAATTTCTATGGACTACGTAACTTTAGCTTAGCTAAACAATGATGAGTAATGAATTATCCGAATGAGGAAAAAACAGGGTATTACCTTTTGCTTTATTATAGTAGGCTAGCCCCGCGGTGTCTGGATCCATGGGGTCCGTTCGCACGGCTGGGTCTTCGCTAAACTTTGACGCTATGGCCAGAACAGCATACAGCAGCAATGGTGAAAGAGGATTATTGCCATCCTTATTATTCAACCTCCTCAAGAAATTGGCCTTATGTACTATTGGCACGTAAGGATGAATATGATGGAAATACAGTTGAACCAGATTGTTTGTTAACTCTGGGGAAGGCAGGGGAGGATTGGAAAAGCCTATAAAAGGCAGAGGCGGTTCCGTAAAAATAACCGTTTCGGGGAAATCGCAGCGTTTTTCGTCCGTTTTCAATGGTTCGGAGTTGTATATATATTGCGCGCGCCCGGTCTGGCATATCTTCACTGTGTCAAGGAGGCCTGTAGCAGAGTCAACATAATCGATGATATTTACTAATCGAGGGTGAGTTAAGGTTGAGATGAGAGGTTGGTCGCAAAGGCAAAACTTTCAAGCAATTGAGGTGAGGAAGTTTGCTGGCTGGTAACATAAGGGAATTATGGTATGTACGAGGAAGTAATAGGAGGAGATAATGGAGGGACGAAGAGGGTTTGAAGTTGCCGAAGAATAAAAAAGATGGATTGAAAAAGTGTTTATAAGAGGAATTGCAGAAGGAACGCGCGTATACGTGTGTATGTGTGTATGTGTGTGTGTGGGGTGTATGTGTGTGTGTATATATGTGTGTGTGTGTGGGGTGTATGTGTGTGTGTATGTGTGTGTATGTATGTATGTATGTATGTATGTATGTGCGTACGTTCAAACGATACCAAGGGTAAAGAATTGAATGAAAGTTTCGCCACTCAAGCGTCCAATACCACTTCACTCTCCTACCCAGTTAATCAGATAGAAGCAAAAATGACAAGAAATATTTACCTCGTTTTCCTTTAGCGCTGTCTTCTTCGTCTAGTTTGTGCAGAATATTTTCAATCCTTTGAGATCGCTCATCCATCTGTTCCTGCTCGGTTTTTGGGTGAGTTCTCTTGACCGCCATGTTAGAGAAAATGCATTCGATTTTGAGCTTTCTGCAACTTGAACAAGGAGTTTGAGTGCCGCCTGATCCACCGTCGCATTTGACTTTGCGTCTTCGGCATGACTCGCATGCTCTTGTGACTTTTAAGCGTTTGTAACGATGTAAATCATCGACAAAGACATATTCCATCATTTTTTTTCCTTTTAAAAATAGTGTATTAGAAATGAGAAAGTAAACAGGTAGAGAGCGGAGGAAGTTGAAATAGGCGTTATATATATGTTGTATAAGGGGATTTAATAGTACTTGGGGTTTTATATTCGTGCCACTTTTGAATTGATGACGATGATTGAATCAGATAAAAATCAAACAACAATATTATAAATACAGGCTTTCTCTTTCCAAGTATTAATGTAAATAGGGTTGGTATTTGTTTAGGTTCGTTGGGGTCGGCTAAATTTTTTTTGTTTCGTCTCAAAATATAAGAGCACGAAATAAGAATAGTACTATTAACAAATAAATTTTTTGCTCTCTTGTTTACGGACAGGAAAAGAGCGTAGAACTTCTTGGATAATCCTCGGATGTAGAAGTCCTTAGGGTGTTTGTTTATATACAGACTCGAGCAACCGAGATCAAAATAGACTTCTACTTTTTGAGACGAATATAAAATATGCAAGGACAGAATGTAAATCAGATTATGAAGAAAACGGGATCGAAGGATGTTAATTTATATGTAGGCATCTGAATGTTATTAATCAATATGACACATAAAGTATTATTTGCTTGTTAATAAATAAGTATTATGAATCAAAAAGCTATAGAATAAAATAACATCATTGAATAAATCAGCATCATATGTTGTGTATAATTTATGCAGTTCATATTATATAGGGAAAAATGTACACCATCCTGCATGCGTTCACACATCATCCCCCCCCTTTTGTTTAAAAGACTTTAAGTGGAAATATTATACTGTGCAATAAATAAAGTTGGGAATATACAGATAACGTAATTGACTAACAGCCCAACATATTAACAAATGGTCAAAACTAATATTGCGTATTTATCCATCAAGAAAGCTTTTAAAAAATTAAATCAACTTGCTAAAATGCAAATCATTTATTAAACATATTTGCTAAACTGATAAACGACCGACTGACAAACCAGCCCGTCTAATCATCAACTGACCTGCTCCCTGATTACTTTTCTAACCTATTGAGATATTCATTTAACATGCCTCTGTTTTATTAGGTTTTAACTAAAACGTAATCTTTAACAAAAGCATGACTGTTGTACCACGCTATACGAGTAGCTTGTGTATAACCCCGTGTATGCACAGCCCGAATTTTAATAAATAAAATAGAAATCCGATCGAAGCATGAAGATGGGTCTATGATCGGAATTTGTCAAAGGCTAGTAAATATTGTAAACAGGTCTCTCTGAGGGCATTACTGATATATCATACATGAGTATATATGCACAGCTATTAATTATTTAGCTTGCTAAGTTTTCATTGCGTTGCAAAGGGCGGGAAATGAAATCAGATAAAAAGCGCGCCATCGTTTTGCTTAAGTAAGACAAGACAACACAATAAACAAGATGTGCGAATTATTAAGCTTGGATTAGCAAAAGAGCTATTATTTCGGTTAGTTATCAATTACCCGCTCAGCCAATAAAGTTGTTAATTATATTTATCATTATCCTTATTTTTATACCTTGCGGGGCTTGCTAACATATATAATTATTTAACAGACCCTTTGGCGTACTTTATTCTTTTTTACCACTAAATTCTTAGTTTCCATGTTCGAATACAATTTATTCGCAAAAACTATTGTTGATTTAATAACATATCAGATATTATATTTCCGTAATTTATACTAAATAATGTATAAAATTAATTATGTTAATGCTTGATAGTAGAAATATTCTACAAGACACTCTGCATGTAAACTCGGAGTCTAATTTACTCTGCTTAGGTAACCAATACTGTCGCGTCTTTTTTTTTCTTCCCTGTCCTTTCCTGCCTTCGTAATAAATAAACGGTCAATTTTGTAATATTAGTAAAATAGTCAAAACAAAGAGAGAAAATGCTTTTACTGGCTAACTTTTTTATATATCAATTTATGCTACAAGTGGCACTGTTGGATCTATTATGTCTTTACCAATTCAAGCATTACTATCAATAGTTTGCAAAAAATTTTGTTCTTGGATCGGCGGATGGTCAGTAAAATAGTAAAGTTATTCTTTTTACAAAGATTATAAGTTTTTATCTATGTCAAGTTTTAAAGAAATTTTAATTTAACAGTCTTATACTATTCACCGTTATCCTCCTGTCGGTTGTTTTGTTTAAAGTAAATCACATCTTATTGTCTATCAGCTCTTCAAAGTCTGGCTATTCTATTACATTATTATCTGGTTCTTTATTATTGACAATAGAAAAAAAAATTCATTATTAATGCAATTGATGTCAGATGATCCACAAAATTGATGATTACTGGTGCTCAAAATATTGCTATAATCGACAAACGCGCATATATACTTTACGATAAAGGTTCACTATCTATTTAGCATGATACGATATCATCAGCTGATTCAATTAATATGGATAGTTATGGTTAGAGTCTAAAATCAATTATTAAATGCTTACTCTTTTTACATTCAATTACTTAATAGGACGTTTGTTTGTTATTATTACATTCTGTATATATTTTGTTAAACAACTTTCCCCGACCAGTCCCTGAACCTGCTCAAGCCTTCTTTGTGACTACATAATTGGGTTTTTGAATTTAAAGCGGATGATTGTGAGAGCTTCTTTGAGACGGGGATATGTGTATTGGACTGGGTATTGCATATTTGCATCCAATTATTATGGACTGCGTGCTTATACACATTCTATTGTGCGTATTATTAGCAAACGCTTAATGTTTCTAGTATAGAACATTTGCGTCATTCGACATCTAATTAATTATTCTATACATGGTGTTGAGTGAGAACGTGTGTGAGCAATATAGGCTATTATCAATACCCTTTCACACACAAAGTTGCACATAAAAGCCATCAGTTTTCAAGGAAGGAAATCAGTTCGTACTGCAAACGATTAAAAGAGAAATATTTCTATCACATCGCTATGGTTATGGTATAATTAAAATACAATCGGAATTTCATATTATTTGAATTAGGCTACATGGATAGCATGAGCCCAGCAACGCCTAATCTGCGATAAGCGTTCAAACATATTCGCTAATGTACACTAAGATTATTCAATTGCCAGGGTAACCGATTTTCATATTCAGCTATGATAACAAAAAATGGTAATAGATTTCATTCTGATAAGTAACACATTAAGAACAATAGAATGACAAAGCGTAATGCGATAACGTAAGTTATCACAATCGATGGGGGGCGTATCTTTGTGATCAGAGTTCAAAGTGGAGTATCAACACGTGCTTACAGCAGACAAAAGAGAATAGTAAGAATGCGATACTGGAACAATGTAACTACTGATCAAAGGTAATAGATGTAAAGCAAATAACTTAATTCAAACATGACTATATATTAAACATGATTCACACATATGATTAGCCATATAATCATCGATTTCGAAGTGCCCATCGGATGTGTGGTGGAAATTATTACTTCTGCGCAATGCTAGTCTGGGTTTTATGTGTAACATACATTCTTTCGTGTCAAACCATAATAATAACAATAGTAACACAAAATCTCTATACGGTTACGATATTAATTGCCGTATGGAGAACCGATTAATTTAATATGAGATATTATTTAGAAAAATGTGTAAAGTCGAGCGTATTACAAAAAGTCATAGTCAATTACTATCAGATACTTTATCAATGCCAATATTACGTCTAACGACGCAATGAAGCATAACATATGTTTCGTTTGTAACCGTATCGTTAGCTTCTTTTTTTATACATGTGATATCTGTAGCTGAAAATAGTGCGCCTTTCATGTGCATCAATTAAATATGGTATAGGATAGTTTAACTAACAAATTTACACGAAAACGGTTACTATCAATGCATCTATTATAAATCATACGATTTTTTTAAACCAGTAACAGACTGACAAAGATGCAGTCACAAAACTTTAACGTAAAAAAAGAAAAGAAAAGCTTTAAGCTTTTTTATTTTCTATAAAAATTTTGGTTTGATATCAGATAATATGTTACCAGAATTGGTTTATACAATTTTTGAGTATCCTCATGTTTAAATTCTGATAGCGCAGCGGCGAGCACGCATTATCTATTATTAATCGATAGACCAATCTCAATTCAAGTACGTTATCGATTTATTTTGTTCCATTTAGCGTATTACACGTTTTTTTTCTGATAACTAAGCTAAGCGGTATATGTTTGTTACGTATGGTTGTACTTGGCGTAAGCACTTCTGACCCTCGGCTTTTACTGACTCCTGTATGATCGGATGCCTTATGGCGCATTATTAAGGGGGATGAGTGTGGGTTTAGAACTTGGATTGTTGTTTGTTTTTTTTTTGAAAGAATTGAGAAGATTCGATATTCTTGCATCGGCAAGCTGCTTGGCCCGTATTTCCGTAAGTAGTGTAAGGTTGTGACATCAAGTAGATTATGTGTTACTATTACTTCATAATTGGACGAATACCAACAAACATTTTAACGCTCAAGAATATTTTTAATAGATACTGACGCGCAGTTTTTCATTGAATACGAACTGACGCGTCACAATGTATTGTTCATAGGCGATTAATTAGCGCAATGCGAAAGATGAATACAACGTGTGTGTGAATTCGTGTTGTTAAAATTGATTAACTAGAATTTGTACGTCCTCTTGTACAGACAAGTTTTTGTTATATCGACCATTGTACGATAAAAGACGTTTTCAGACATCTTAAATTATGTCAAATCTGTATAGATTGTGTAATGATAGCTTATATAAGCACGCCACGATATCTAGATTAAGATGATCAAGTTTAAATAACCAAAATCACGCCAATAGTCTAACGAGTGTGTAAACGTTATATAAAATTTTGTCTCGACTATATATGTATTGACTTAGCATACGAGTACTAGTGTATCCTAATTTAGTAACTTTATTAATAAGAATAAATTTTCTCGCACCATTACAGTTTCAGGTGCATCATCACACGCTTGATAGATGCTCCGCATTTGTTTACATGCGCACCAACATGCAAATACCCGATCGAAATTCAAAGAAACACGATACGCTAAGACTAAAACAGTCAACCATGTTAAAATATTCATCCGAAATGCATTTTAACTAATAAATTGTTTAATAAGTTGTTAGGTTACTGTTTTGCTGTTTGGGTTACGGTATCACAGCGTTGGGTAATTTCAACATTCTATCCTATTGCAGATCTGGTTTCATCGTTAATTAATCGACATGAACACTGACTGGCAAGGGGGGGGATTCGAACATTCATAGTAGAGTTTTACATACACGACGCGTGTGTGAGAATGTATGCTGTGCGTCAGTCTATGATGTCAGAGAATCACACATGAATGAAGAAAGGGGATGGTTGATTCATTGGTAATTGTCAGAGTTGACGTAATAAATGACCGTACCTAGCAGTTAGCAGTATTAATTGTGTATATTTTATTTGTCATGCTTTAAAGTTGAATGTCATTGCTGATTGTGTTTAATTCTTCTCTGTTATGCGATGCAATGACAGCGGGTTGGTATTAACAATATAGGTTGGACTATTTTTAACTCTGATAATCAACAACGTGGAATAGTAAATCCATTAACGGACAAGGAATCAGGTATAGTGATAAAAGTTTTTGAACTAACGTTAATTGTAACGTCTGATATCAATAACAATTCCTTCTTTTGATGGTGGGTGATGATTTATGCTTAACTGTTGATGCCAACTCTGCTTACCATATTGAAAAGATAGTGAAACTAGATATCAAACTCATCTACGAGAATTTTTTCCCTTCAAGTTTATCTGAATGAGGATCAACGTGGGTACTTTTGTCATCTCCGAATGAAGCGAAAGGGAAGTTATTGTCATTTGGTACCAATGGGAGAAGAGGGCAGGTGATGGAATCGATAAGTTGTACAACATAGATAAAGATATGGTTATATGAGGACAATGCAACCAGCTGCATGCTGCATGACTTGCTTCACCCCTCCCCCCTCCCCACAGGAAACCAACATTCGACATCGGACCAGTGGGAGCGATGTTAAATACCTTATCTAACTTATTTAAGATGCCCTTGAATTATATTCCTCAAGACACTAGAAAATGGGATAACAATAAATGCCGAGAACAAGCTTTATTGTCTTGAATAGAATAGGGAGAATAAAGGATTTATGTGGGATAATACATGAGAATGAGCAGGGAATGAATGAAAGTTGGCTAGCGTAAATCCGATTTGTGTAGTGTAGATGCGAAGTGTCAACTGTAATTATTGTCATAATATTATCATTTCTCAAACCTTACATTGCATATTATTTAACTTTCGCAGGACTTTTAGCATAATATATGCACAAGGCTAATTCTCGCTTAGTGCATAGATTAAAGCGGATAGATTGTGGACGAAGGAAAAGATACAACGATTATTTACCATGCAAGATGTGTTCTACGTAATTATAGCTTATTAAAAAAGACAGATTTTGAACGTAGAATCAGTGTTATATTTGTCATGGTCCATATCTTCTACATGTCAACGATACATTTCGCTGCGTTGTTCCATGTGAGAACGTGATATTAATTATTACAAATTAAGATACGGACTTTCCAGAAATAATCGACAAACAGATACCGCACGAAAATCACTCACATTCGTAACGTCAGCAAACATACAGCAATAGTCAGATTGGTCGAAGGTCATTCCAATTAGCAGCTAACATATGTAGAACACAAACGCCAAGAAGTCTGTCTTGAGGACATGTATATAGCCTTGGCATTCTCGCTGATCCAATTTGAATCGACCGTAAAAGTATGGGCTAATAATAATAGAATATAGTAAAAAAAAATTGCCGATAGTGATTCGACTGTTTATTACTGCTGCGTTATATGCTACGTGTTTGTGGAATAGAAAAATAAGGATCGATTCGAGGTGCGGATATCGTTTGATATAACGATCGTGTGCGATATGAGAGATAGATGTTCCTACGTCGTTTCTTTGTTGCAGCGTCATCCTTGTTTTGTAGGAACAATAGATATGGTTTAGCTAATAATAGCAATAATACTCTATTCGCCGCATCTATGTGCCAGCATTTTCATTCATTTTTATGCACAAATTTGTACAACTGTTTGGGAGCTATTCTTTTTTACTCCGTTGATTAATTTTTTGGTAATTCATTTATTATGTAATGAACTCTAATAAGCGATCGATGACCTCGATACGACTCTAAAGTGTCCAACATGTATATGTGTAATATTACACTGATGCAGCACATTAGTCGCGTTATTTCCATATGCTTCTGTACAATGTTTTCCTGCAGATCCTCGTTGGAGGAAACGTTATGACGTCAAATCGCTACATTTTCTGCAGGAGAATTCGCATACTGTAATAGGATAGAATGATAAACGTCACTAAATGAGTTGGGACATTCAATGGCCGCACGTTCGTTTTTCAGAATATGAATGGTTTGTCGAGATTGTGAACAAATTCAATAAGATGTATTGGGTAATCCCACGTTAATCCCACCAAATCAAACCATATCACCCATATCTTAATCTTATTTGCAGAATAGGAAAGGTCCAAAAATGTACTCAAAGATCACGTAACAAAATGAAACACCAATTAGATTCATCAAGCCACAGAGTCTAGTCTATTCTGAAACCGAGCCATTATCTAATAAACTCAATTAATTAATTGTAACTATATTTTGATGTCAAACTAACCTCTGCATGACCTTGTACAAGCCCATCTCACAGATGTACACCATACAAAAGTTATCGCTTGCAATGATTAAGGGATATGCAGGTACTTGAGCTGTTGTTTGTGTCGACCGTTGACTTGTTATTCTCGATTCCAACATCAATTTACGCAGTTTGTCAACACGACCGTTGATTAAGCCTGGCTGTAGACCTTTGATAAGCAACTCGAAACCTATTGGGGTAAGCATTTATTATATAAAATATCCTTTAAAAGCACTATTAATAGATTTAACTATGATTAGCTAAGCAACCCCACAATCGTAACCACTGTTCTCATTAAACTGCCGTTACGCTATTACTTTTTTGGAACAGCGTGTGAGTAAAGTGTGGACAACGAAAGCACAGATGCAATGTGGAGACGAACACAAAGATCCTTAATCACAGACTCTAGTACGTAACACGCCACCCGTTTAGTAAGTCGTTTCTCTATCTTATTTCTTGCGACATTACGTTATGTGGTTGATGCATCTTTGTTTACGTGTCAAAACAAATGTTGTATTTCCATCAAGTTTCCGCTTGAAAATTCAGCCGTTTACATACCAACATCTTTTGTAACAGACTGCTGGAGTGGCTGGAGCAATACAAATGCCGGACTATCGGAAAGTTCGGAATAATGATGCCAGACATCATTTCACTGTCATACAAGAGGAGAATTTAATCCATGCCAATCACGAAGGCATACATTGGAGCAACATTTGGGAAACTTTTTTAGAAACAAGATTCTATGCAGGGACGGGAAACGGGGGTAAGGATTGATGCACTTTATACACATAACCAAAACTCAGAATAACAAGCGTCGATGCAAGTCACAAATGATCGGAACCCAACTCATTAGCGAAACAAACCTTCTTTTGTATGACAACTGCCAATACGCACAAGAACATCCCAAGAACAGAATTGAATCTATGCGCAGTCAACATCACTAATCCCCAAAAGAACAACAAGAATTTGTGTGATACAGCAATAACGATCATATGCCTACATGTATGCCCACACCCATCATCCCCCATATTGCATCTTTTGTTCTATGCATCCGATTGCTCTGAAACACTAGCATTTATTGCAAATAAACCTTATATCTTGTGAACTGTCGTCGAATGCAATGATTTTTGTGAATTAAAAAGTGCCATTTCCACATATTTGTCAATACATATGACATAGCCACAAAACTTAGCCTCCAACTCCCCCCCCCTCCCACTCCTCGGCGATCGACAAAAGGCATAGAACCGCTGGTCTCAGAATCATAGAAGATTGTCGTTAGTAGTTTCTCTTTTTTTTTTTGTCCATCGCATGACTGACAGATATGGAAATACATTTGTTTGCGCCCATTGGGATTCTCAAGTCATTTACCATTAATTGATTTTGTCTAAATGAACTTCATGATTATTGGTTTTAATGTATCAGAATGAGCGTTGTCCAATCCTGATGAGTTTCCAATCTCAAACCCCACATTCATCCTTTACATTCGATCTTCACGCTACCTGAATATCTTTCTCATTCATTTCTTTTGTTCGTATTTACATTAATCTTACACAAACATATATTTTTTTCCACGAGAATCAAAAAAAAAGTCTGCTAGTTTGTTTCTACTTGAAACGCAGTAAAGTCATATGATTGTAGAGACATTTAACGTCATATGATCAAATTTCAGTCACGAGACAATTACTTAAAAGTTCGCTTCCACGCCACGCGAGGTAACAGTAGAGTAGGCGCACATTGATATGCTAAATCCAATCAATTGTCTTGTACCAACTTTACTATTTTGCATAACGATACAAACCCTTAGATAAGTTTGTATTAATGTGGATATACATGTGCGTTGAGTGAAGACTAACCGTGGGTTAATGGCGGTTAATGGTGGTTAATGGTGGTGTCGTTTTTTTTTTGACAGATTAATATAGCTTCAATTATATTCGTATACGTTTAAGCATCCACGTGCAAGTAAAGTATTAACATTTAATGTGCTCTCCTTCCGCATAATGCACGAGGTTGCATACTGGAAAAATTATGTCAGACATTTTTTGATTTCTTTTATAATACAGTAAAATTAATCTTGTAATTTCTTGTATCACTTTAGCTTCAACCCAAGAGATATCGATCAAAGTTATTAAAGACAATACACAATTGATCTGAATGAACATTAATGATTGTACTCGCATAACATGCAAAATGTTCCTTATCATTGCTACTTTTCAGGAAAATTGTATTAGTGTTAATTATTTAACATTTTAATTGCTATTATTATTTTAATATTAATTCAGATTTTGATATGTAAGTTCTATTTACGTGTGCCATCAGAGGAGGAGTTCGAGTACGGAGGGAATAATAACTAAATATAATGGAATTTAATATTAGAAACTGTGGCTAGTAATTAGATTATACTAGGTAGGATATAGGATAGCAGTGAAAATAAAGTTCTGGTTTAAAGTTGAGCATTAAGCAAACATATTCTAAGCTGAAGTAGATATCTTAATCTTTTGATAGTTGGGAAAAAATTACATTGTTAACAGTTGTAAAAAATAATGTTTAAAATGCTGAGCTAGTTGATGCACTAGTATACCGCTCAACATCGTCCAGGACAATATTACAAAACCGACAATAATTCCAAGCATATTAGTGAGATTACCTGCAAGAACAATGCTGGTATGGTTATCAATAAATTATGTAGCAATTGAGAATATTCTGAAATATTGAGAATTTATAAAGGAGGATGGCAGAGCATTTCAAAAGTATTAATCATGCCCTCAATGCTAGATGCTGTCAGAGTGGTAATCAAGAACTAATTTATTATTAATAATTTAGAATAATTTTTGAATATCTGGTTGCAGTGCAATGATGGTCAATCTTCCAGTAATATCTATGTTAGCATTTTAGATTCATGTGGCAAAACATTACTTTATCTAATTCTGTTGCTCTCTGACTCATTACCATGAATAACACATTACATTAATTTATACAATACGTAATTATAAAAAATGCATCATATTACATATTTCTAATTTAATTGTGTAAGCCTTTATTTGGGGCATGCTGCAACAAAACCAGACAAAGTGAACATTTTATAAATGAGAGGCTGATTATGATGTGGTTGTAAAATTGACCAGTGTGACTGATGACATTTTGAAAAGCAATAATGGTGCTCATTCATAACTTATGGACTTGTTAATCTACATTAAAGCCACCACAGCACCCAAGAATTATAGCACCCATTAGAAGTATTTTGAAGAAAGCTTAAGGAGAAAAAATTGCTCCATATACTTTTAAAATTAAGAAAAACCACTTATGAATTTAAATTACTTCTTTACTTTTAATCAGGATTATCTCTTGTTTCTTTAACTTTAATTTGAGCAACGTGTTGAGTCTGCTGTTTTCTTAAGAATTTAACCTCACTTTCAAGTCTTTGAATTTTATCCAATAATTCTTGCTTTTGTTTATTATTATCATGTCAATTCTTTAAAACATCTAAGGCCTTCAATTAGATTCAGTTTAAACTATGTTTTGGATCATTATCCTGCTGAAATATTCTGTTGTAACTCAGCAAGTTATCAGCATTATCATATAAATAATTGTTGAGAATTTCCAATGCAAATGGCGATGTAGATTCTTTGTGAATATGTGCATCCCGATTTTTCCCTTAATGTTAATTGCAGCCCAAATGTGAGCTTTAAAAGAATAAGTTGTTTGCGCGTGACCATGCACGGGTTGTATTGCCAAACATTGGATTGTAGTTGTCAGAAAAAATTACTTTATATTTATTCCCAATTGTAATGCGAGTAATTACGTGTCCAGGTGGATTTCATTTGCTGCGTTAAAATGGACACTTTACGTGGTAGAACTGAAGCAAAACCAAGCTTATTAAGGCTTCAACGAATAGTGCACTCACTAACGTCTGCCTCTGGGTATTTTGTACCCAACGTAGTCTTCAAATCATTATGAAGTAATTATGTTATTTATTTTAATTTGGCGACGACGTTGTTCAGTAGATGATTTTTGTGTTTGGTCAGATCGATAAATTGACCATTTTTACGAAATATGAAACATAAGGCTCACAAAACGTAAAAAAACGCCAAGTTTTTTTGTTTTAAATTTCTTTGCATTGCAAACGTTTTGCTTCAAAAAGACTCAATATTAATATTAACAAGTTGTAAAATTAAAATGAGCGTAAAGACAGTCTGTAAATTGGTTTATTTTAAATTACTGTCGATTTGGTGTCAGTAAACAAATGCCTAAAACGCGATAGTAAGATGTTATCAACAAAAAACAAAACTGCGTACCTACCGCCATCACTTGTAACTCTTTGCAGCTGACAAGAGTGTAAGCGATTGAGTAATTCGGTTAACATTTCTACCAGGACTTGGTATCCATAAATTTCAGCATGGTTTTCGAAAAAATTCTTCACGGCTGTAGCAACAGTTATATTAATATCAATGGTTAATTTGGTTTCCCATCGAAGCATTTTTTTACTATGATTACGTAATTATACATCCGTCACCAAGTAATTTCTGACGTTTTCGAAGTGATTCCTAAATTCTTCTATTTTTTTTAAGACGTCAGCTGGCAGTCGTCACGCAATGAGAATATTTCTGCGCCTGACATGGAAAATACATAATAGGGTTTGTTTTGTTTTGACTGCAGAGAAAGATTTTATCAACTGACTCGTTTATCTGATTCATCACATCAGCTTGCTGTAACAAAAAAACTCCTATTTTACAAAGATTTGACTATAACTTAGAATAAATAATCGCGTAAAACCAAGAATAAGTATCAAAAGGTCATCCGTTTTTGTCACTTCATTAAACGTACTGTATTTAATCAATTTTGGAGGTTACAATCTAATCTGCACGTTGTCAGGTGATTATCATATTGTGACGTATTCATTTAAAAGTAACACATAAAAATAATAAAAATACGTAACGGCAATCGTAAGTCAGTACACATCTCTCTCTACGTGCACAATGAGTCGCGGTAATTATGTATTAAATGTCAAGTTTTTTATATGAAAATGGCAACATATTGCTGAAATTTTGACGGCAAAAGCTTTCTCTTTACAGGGTCAAGTGCTGGATATGACCGTCACATAACCATTTTCTCTCCAGAGGGCCGACTGTATCAAGTCGGTAAGTGCTCCCGAATTACAAGTCGATGGGAGAACATTCTCATTCGATAGCTATTAGATTCTTTTTGAGATCTATACAAATCAATCATTTTACTACTTCTCCGATATATCAAGAGTATGCCTTCAAAGCAATATCCAATTCTGGAATGACATCCGTTGGCGTTCGTGGAAAAGATTCTGTTATAATCGTAACTCAAAAGAAGATTCCGGTAATTTGATTGAGAATTAATTAATTTTCGCTGCGTGATACTTTATCGTATTCTCACTCTCGCCGTTCTCTAATGAATCTCTAGGACAAGTTGCTTGATCCATCAACGGTGACTCATATTTTCCGACTGACACCATATGTTGGGTGTGTTATGACAGGCATGATCGGTTAGTAAGCTCAAGTTTATGGCTTTTATACTATTTTATTATTGCTGACTGAAAATTATACCTGTGTCTAAAGCTGATGCGCGTGCTCAAGTTTCCCGAGCACGTAGTGAAGCAGCTGAATTTCGTTATAAGAATGGCTACGAGATGCCCACGGACATGCTTGCTAAGC